CTCTGTCTCCCCATGAAGTTCCTTTGCCTGAGCTGTCCAGTGAATTGCTTCCCCAAGGGTGGTGTCAATAAAGTTGCATAGTGCCTTGGGTCTCTCAAATGAAGCTGAACTCTACAAATCCCTAGAGTTCCCTGTCTCTGAGGTGAACTTATTGCTCTAGCCTCATGGCTGATAGAGACTTACTGAAAACCCTTCATGGGTTTCTGATTTTCTTTAGTGAACCTGCCTCAACAAGAATAAAGATGAAACGATTGAGTGATGACCCAGGAAAATATTATACGTTAAACAAAATGACATGTCCATAGCTAAGAGGAAAAAATAACTTGAGCATTTATATAACATAGTAGTAATTCTTCAATTCAACACATATTGTAAACACTGCATTAGTCAATATGGGGATCCTAGAGTAAATCAAAATTGTTAAAGTGAAGACAAAAATATGCAATCATAAAGCAATTAAGGAACAATTTTAAGGAACATGGCAGGCACTAAATGAATGAATGAATCAATGATGTCAGCCTTTAAGCAATAAGAGTGATTGCAAGTACACTTTTATACTTAAGTACTGTGGGGATTCAGATTTTATTATAAGATTCTAAAATAGCGAGCTTAGGCCAAGAAGTCTTCTTATAAGTATAGAATTTGAAAAAAATATAAGATTTTAAAATAGCATTGGGGTGCCTGGGTGGCTCAGTCGGCTGAGCGTCCAACTCTTGATTTCAGCTCAGGTCATGATCTCAGGGTCATGAGACTGAGCCCCGCAATGGGCTCTGTGCTCAGTGTAGAGCCTTCTTAAGATTCTCTCTCTCCCTCCCCCTCTGCCCCTCCTCCTGCTTGCTCTCTCCCACTCAATAAATAAAATCTTAAAAAAAAATAAAAAATAAAATAAAATGGATGAAATTAGAAGATGTTATGAAGGAATTCATATGATTAATGATTTCCCTGGGAGAAATTTAATTTAAATAGGTACTGGGAGCTAGTGGCCCACTTCATTTATATTAGTGGTATTTGACCACATTTTACAGATACACTTCTTTGTCCCAATTAGGTATTGGTGCTTTACTAGTAATTTGCTAATATTAATATTGGAAGTTTTGGAATTCTCCAACTATTTGCATTAAAAATAACCGAGATTATTCTACATAATCCCAATTATAATGTCATTCTTGCTTGCATTATGATAGGCTTTCCTTAATGAAAGAAATGAAGTTATAGCTAGAACTAAAGGAGGAGACATAAAAGGGAATGCATCTCAAATATGTCTGCCATCATCAGAATGTTGAAAACATGCAGTTGAAAACCACTGTATTAGGATTAGAAATCTTTTCAACAGATATGTATCTAGACACTATCATATGTTGTCTGCTTTTGTTCATTATGGTATTTTCAGCATTTAATGTAATCCTACATATTTATAAACATGTTTAATAAATATTTGCTTTTATTTTGGTGATATTCAACGAGCTAACCAAATGTTAAACAAAATAATACCTCATGATATTCAATATACTGAAAAACCTTATTTCCTGACAATATCAGATAGGTGATGCCTAAATGGAATTATTTGGTAAGATTAGATGGCCAACGTTATGCTTGTTCTGTATATATTTAGGATAGGATAGAAAAGGATTTCCAGTCTAGGAAGGAAGCCTGAAGGAACACATAACACATTGTTATAGAATAACATAAAACTACATATAATTAAATACCAGGAGAGGAACAAAAAGAGCAATGCATTTTATCTGGAGAATCTGAGGGTAACTTACTAAGAAGTGGGATTAGAGGATGAATCCAATTTGGATAAAAGGAGGGAGGGCAGGAAAGCTTCCTGGGAAGGTAGGGGAGGCCATAGAAAGGCTGGCTGTGGGTTAAAGTGTGGCCTATAGGGGAGTCTTGAAGAGCTGTGGAAATAGGGTCAGATATTATAAAGAAAATCAGGAAGGCCTAATGGACTCTTCTCTTAATGTACTACCTTCTTTATTCACAGTATCACTTACCTTGAAGAGAGACTATAGTTATTGCTTATTCTAGAGGCATTTTAAATCTTTAATGATAGAACCCATTACTTTAAAAAAAAAAGTAAAATTGTCTTCTTTCAAGTCAGCTTGGTGACTTAACACTCAGCTCTAGAGTCTCCATTTTATTCTGATATCTAATTTGAAATGTAAAATCTTCTTGGTTACTAGTATCCTATAATCTGCTACTTTCTTTCCTTTATTCATATGCCACTTCATCTTAAGATCTTTTACCATGGAACTTGAATGGTTAGAACATCTAACCATTGTAGGTTCTGTGCCTTCCACCAACTTCTCTGTAGGCCCTTATGTGCTATTAGCCATCTGATTAAAGCCCAGGCTCTAGGCAATATCATGAGCATTTGAATCCTGTTTCTGCCACATATTAGCTGGGTAACCTTGGGCAAATTACCTAAATTCTTTGGTTCTGTTTCTTCATTGTAAATTAAAAAATGAGGATAGCATTAGTATTTACCTCAAGGGGTTATTATGAATATTAAATAAATTAATGCAGATAAAGCACTTAAAACAGCACTGGGCACATGGTGAGTGATATATAAATGTTAGCTATTACTATTATCTCTAATGGGGAGAAAAAATGTACATCTGAATTTAGTATAACTATACTGCTCATGTAAGCTCATTAAAATTTTTGATAATTTCACATTTAAGTTGCATTTTAAGTGATTCTCGGAATAAAATTTAGCTTGGAAAAGACCTCAAACATCTTCTAACACAATTTCTCTTCCAGTGCCGTAGCAAAAGGCCTGGCATGGAGTAGATGTACTACCTATTCAATAAATACGCCCTATGTGAATGAGTGACATTGCAAAACAGAAAAGACAAACGGGTAGTTATTATACTAGGTAGAAGTATGCTGGGTGCTTTGGGAGCACAGAAAAGGTGAGTCTAAACCCTCCACAGAGAGAAGTAAATCTATATAATCTACCTAGAGGGCACAAAACTCAGCTGAGTCTGAACGATGCACAGGAGTTGATCTGGTGAAGAAGAAATTTAATGGGTCTAGATAGTTCTTTTATACTATTCTGGTCAAACTATTCAAAATAGGGCAATTAGTAAATGAGAATGATTTTGTTGCTATTTATACCATAACGTGCACTGGAATTGCAATTTATCAACCCATGTTCTAACCGGTATCAAATTATTCCAAACAGGAAGGGTTTCCTAGTAATTCATATTAAAAATGTATATGTTTAGGCCTTTTGAAAAGTCTAATTGAAAGAAAAATAATAGTTATCTTTTACTGAGTAGTTATCATGTACTGGCTTTATAATGAACTCATAAAGAATTAATTCATCTAAACCTCACAAGAATAAAGTTCTCTTACTGCCAACTGATAAAGTAAGCAAGTAGAAGAGTCAGGGTTTGAACTCAAGGCTGCCAAGTGCATGCTCTAAATTACTACACTAAGCGAAATTTTGGATTGATCACTCACTAGAAATGCTGTCTTGTTTTCCTTTTGTATAATTTGAAGAAATATTCAGAAAAATTACATTAATGATATTGATTCAGGATTCATGCTGGGACTTTTGTAAACTGTTACGCAAAATGTAATTTATAAGTTTCCCTTCAACACTACAAGGATGAGCACATCTCAAGATGTCTTGCTCGTCAGCACTATTCTCCAGCTGAAAGTGTTTTCACATCCACATCCACATCTTCATTTGTTTTTTCCCCTAGTGGGTATAGAAAACTACTTGAGTAATGCATATTACTTTCCATATTCTTTCAACAGAACATTGCATACTTAAATCATTAAGATGGATTCCTGGTACGGACTCAGAATTTAAACAAAAGAAAGAAAACCTCATTTGTAAATACCTGGAATAATATTCAGTACCTAAATATATTCTATAAATCCAAAAATGTATCAAAAACCTAGTATTCTTCAAATAAAGTCTTTCAAATAAGAAAGTAGAGCACTCAAGTTCTTTCTCCCATTAAACAGCTTCATTTTCAGGCTTCCTTCACAAAAGGATCTGAATACAGGAAGGCCATTTTAGCTCTGCTGTTGCCTCCCCTTAGATTTTAACCGATGTGGAGACCAGGTCACTCTCTCCCTCTACCTTCACCACTAGCCAATATGACCATCATCCTCCAGCATTCTGGAGATAACCCCTTTTATGCTTTTTTTTTTTTTTTCTAAGTCCTTTACTGTATGTATATCCCTACTATTGACAATAAGCCACAATGTTGGATATCATTAAGTTTCACTAATGTTTTCTAGTCACTTCTGTATTCTTCCAAATCAGAGGATATAACTGGCTCCACCAGGAAATGAAATAGAGGTCATTACAGCAGCAGTGACTTTCAAGCTGTTTGCTAAATTTAGCTGTCCAATACTTTCCACTCTAATGAAAACTGTGAACTACAATTATAGAATGCTGGAACAGAACAGCTTAAAGGTCACCGAGTCCAATCTCCCATTGTTTTTCTGATGAAGGTATGGGGGCCTAGACACAGTCTGAGATTTGCTTGAGGACACAGAGCTTGTTAATGGTAGAGATGCAACTTGAACTAAAATCTGCTCAGTCCGGGGCAGCGGTGTCCATATTACTACACCACAGATGCTCTGCTTCCCATGGTCAGTCTTACCTAACTAGATCTCGCAGCAGAAATATAGCTGATATTATTGGTTGTGGCTTACCTTCTGCGGCCATTCATCAATTTGGTGCCTGAATGTGAAATGGCAAAGGTGTCTGACTTACAAGTTGCTACAAGAGAAATGAAATTATTTCATACCCAAACCCTGCCCCCAACTCTAAAAACTTCCTGCTTTATGTTCATCAATAATGAATGGCCCATCCCTGCAATACTCAGAGGGAGCTTACATTGCACTTTTGAGCAGCCGGTTAGTAATGTACAGTGGATAGAGCCTTTCTTTCAAATCCCAGGGCAGTGGGTCCTTCAAGGCAAGCATTGCATTTTCAATTAGCTGCTGAGTGAATGCCTGGCATGTGTATTAGTGAAGAAGCACACAATTAGCTTATTGTTTCTTTCTGTATTGTGCTGAGACGTTCTAAGAGATTGGTGGGGGAACAGACAAGCCAGGCATCACTGTGGAGTTGAAGAAGGGATTTACTCAGACCTCGGCATCTTCACTTGCTCGCTCTGGAATTACAGCTATTTATTACGAAGTGCCCTGTGTGGCTGGGTGGAGTGTGCCTGAGGAAACACATCCCAGACACCACCTGGGGTTAGTCTTTCTGAGCCCTTCCAGTCTCTGACTAATTCTCGTCATTATCATGGAGCCCAACAGTCCCAAAAAGATACAATTTGCTGTGCCTTTATTCCAGAGTCAGATTGCACCTGAAGCAGCAGAGCAGGTAGGTGGAATTGGGTGGGGACCAGTTCCTGTATATAAAGTAATACGGACATACATTCTTATTAATTGAAAGCTTCTCTACCTCTTGAATTTGCCTAACTTGGTGACTTCCCAGGATATGTGAATAAGAAATAAGTTGGTTTCCATATGGCACTTGTATTTGAGTTGCATTGGGTGACCTATTGACTAAAATGTAGCATTTCATGTGATAAAAAATTGCACCCGTTAGAGAAAAAAAATGGTTATATTAGTGATTCAGATTTGGATCAAAAAATCTGTTTGCTTTTGCTTACTAAATTAGCAAGTTCAACATTTAGAGAAACCTTAAACAATTCTCAGAATTAGCAACCTTTTATTTCATTATTTATAAAATAAAAAAGATTCATTTAACAATGAAAGCATTAAACTTTGAAATAATTTCAGATTATAGGGTTAATATTTTTTTAATGTTTTTCATCATATATTCAAAGCAGTAATTATAAGTATGTGTAATATATGATAGATAGGATTTGTAGGTGTTATGTATAATTTAAAAGACATTTTATTCAGATATTAAAAGAGTATTAAACATTTCCTGGATTCCTTTTCTATGTCTAATATACCTATATATCTCTATTTCTGTCTCTCTCTTTCATGTAAAATTGGTTTACATCTGTATCACCTTTCATATTCAGATTTATTTAGACTCCTGATGCAATGAAACCCCTTAAAAGACCATTTGTGGTAAAATTACAACAGTGGGGAGGCAAAAGCAGAAAAAATTTATGGGGTCATCAATCTAATTCATTAATTTCTTACAACCTCAATTATCATTGAATCCTTTTCCAAATATTTTACACAAAGTCTTAAAAATACTTACTGAATCTGAGACTCATAACTTTCTAGGATGTTTTGATAATCTGAAATAGATCCTCCCAGACTCAGGCCAGATAAATATAACCTTGAACTTCATATATCTATATTGAATGGAACATTGGTTCTGTCCTAGACAAAATGTCATTGGTAAATTTTATCCTCTATCCTACAGACATATATTTTAAGAATTTACCTATATATTTAAGAAATCAAGAACACTTTAGAAAGTCTAATCATAATATGCTCCTGTAACTCTTAAAATAAGAAAAAAAACCCCACATCAAACCTATTAGTTTTAAATGAATTACTTTCCTAAAATCCATACTCATTCTTTATTTGTCCTAAATATGTTACTAGAAAATAAGACAACCTTATAATATTAATTGAAATTAAGAACTCAGGCTGTTAAATTTAACCTGCTAGAAGTTTTAAGTTTTCTGAGCTTCTCTTAACCTGTTTAGAAATAAGGATAATGGATCTTGAAAGCATCATCATTATGGGCCTCCAAGAGAGCCATTAAAACTAGCAAGTCATCCTTGTCCCTATGCTGCATATTATTTCAGTGGCATCATTTGATTATACACAACTATTTCTTTTCTGTGGAAAGGTAGCTTTTTTGGTCAAAGAAGGTGATACTAATACCTGAAAGTTCTACTCTCTGGCTTTCCAAAATTCAAAATAGTGAGCACCTACTGTGTGCTCTCCAGAAATTTGCTTTTTTATGTTGGGAAAAGATGAGGATGGAACAGTTCTGCAAGCTGTAGAGTAACCTGGGGCAGCGTCTGACTCTCACTGACCTTAGCTGGGCCTTTGTTGTTCACAGATCAGAAAAAGAAGACCTACACCAGCATCGCTTGTGATTCTCAATGAACATAATCCCCCAGGTAAAGAAGGATGATGTCTTTGCATTGATAGAACAGAACAGAATTGTTTGAAGAACATCAGAGAGTATGTCATTGCCAAAAGGTTTCAATTTAGGATTTCAGTCAGTCCTAATCTAACAAACTAGTCTATAAAAATGGATCATAAACAACATCAGAAATATAGAAACTCAGTCAACAGTCTGCTTTTCCTCTAGAATGACACATTGGTGATGATACGCTACAAAATGGTTTCCTGTTTGTATAGAGACCGGTTTAGTGCTTATTAATGAGCATGGTGGAAAGTTGTTGAATTAGGTTCCGAACCTCAAATTACAGTCTAAGAGATGCTTATATCTCTATAGAGTAGGTTTTTTATTTATGAAAGCTTGTCATGGGGTGGGCAATGAGCTAGCACTGGCCACAGCTTTGTTGCTGATGTCATGTCTGAATAATGCAATTGACAAGTAATCAGATCAATTTTCAGTACTGCCCATTTGAGAGTCATTCTGAAGGGTTGCATCCATTTGTTGTGGTTTTACTTTCCATTTCCTGTAAGAAGTAAAGCTGCCTTATTCCTGATAAATGACTGTGATCTGCAATATACAAACATTATTTACTTATTGAATGGAGGTGATTTTTATCTCACATTTAAGTGCTGCTTCTAGAAATACAAGTAAGACAGCAAAGGTCATGGCATTAATTTGCACACAGGCAGGACTTGGTGTTGGGTTTTTTATAGGTCTAAACAATATGGGTGGACAAAAGGAGTTTGAATAACAGAAACATAATAAGTCTAAGTACAGGCTGTAGTGAATAATCTGTTTTAAGAATACCAAGGCAAAATAGTCTTTGATTTTTTTTTTTCAAATTCCTTTCTAATTACAGAAGCATACATAAGAAAGTAAAATTCTAATAGAATATTCATCATTGAGTCTAAATCCAGGAAGGTGTTCAGCTGATGGGAAACCAAAGCAAATTTATTCCTGATGAAAATAGGGTTTGTTTCTATTTCTATTTCTTTAAAGTGCTATAGCATTTGAAAATCATTTTCAAATGTATTATCTCAATAAATGTTAACTTATTTTGGTTTAGTAAGAAGTGCAAATGGTATGCACTTACAATTTACAAATAAACATAAAACTAAAATCTTCTGGGACGCCTAGGTGGCTCAGTTGGTTAAGCATCCGACTCTGATTTTGGCTCAGGTCATGGTCTCAGGGTCGTGAGATGGAGCCGTGTGGCGGGCTTCATGCTAGGTGTGGAGCCTGCTTAATATTCTCTCTCTTCTTCTCCCTCTGCCCCTCTCTGCCCCCTTCTCTAAAAATAAATAAATAAATAAATAAATAAATAAATAAATAGAAAAATAAAATCTTCTCAGATTGGAAGTCATTTTACAGCAATTTTCCATCACTGTCTTTGCTCACAGCAGCAACTTTTCTACAATGTCCTAGAATTTACCTCCCCCAAGCCAACCTTATAAGGTGTTGCCCAACTTGATTTCTTTTTTTTTTTTTTTTTTAAGATTTTATTTATTTATTTGAGAGAGAGAATGAGAGAGCACATGAGAGGGGGGAGGGTCAGAGGGAGAAGCAGGCTCCTGCCGAGCAGGGAGCCCGATGCGGGACTCGATCCCGGGACTCCAGGATCATGACCTGAGCCGAAGGCAGTCGCTTAACCAACTGAGCCACCCAGGCACCCTGCCCAACTTGATTTCTAAGTGTCCTGCTACAGGTATTATTACTGTTTGAACATAGTGGAGCTATGTAAATGACCCTTGTGGCTCTCATTCAAGCCCCCCAAAATAGTAACTAATGTTTTTTGAAAGCCAAATATGTGCCATTTATAGATGAGGGAAATAAGTATCAGAGTGGTGAAGTAATTTTTGTGGAAGTTACTCCACTGTAAGTGACAGATTATACAGACAAACTCAGATAAGTCTGATTCTAAAGCCCTTGCATTTTCTACTGCATGATGCTGGCCCTGCAAATTTCAGTTTGCATTACATAGTGAATTCTCTGTAAATGGGATTAGACTTTCAGGTCCTACTGACAAGCAAATCTGAACCTTAAATAAATCTTTTGTCTAGATCACTAAATTTAGTAGATTAGGAATTATACTTAAGTGTCCCTGTGAATCCAATTTAGATTTTCTCTAGAAATCCTTTTCTTACCAGACCTCCTAATCACTAGATGGCATTGTTCTATTTCCCTTATTGACTCCATACTTCTCTGTTTTTAATCACCACTGGAAAGAACTTAGATGCAAATAGCATCTCACACAGAACTGTGTCATTTTAGTAATGTCATCTCCCTGCATCTTTAGCCTCTTTTTGGAAACTAGAATAGTTTAAAAGGGACTGATTAGCCCTTGCCTGTGCATAGTAATGTGTATGACAACCAGAGATTTCTGGACTAACATTGGGTTCCTGCAGCAAAAAAGCCAAACACTACATAGCTTCCCTAGTAAAAATGATCTATAACCATGATTACTGGAGAAATAAATATAAGAACCAACCAAACAAACCAAATAAACAGCAACAAAAGAACAAACACCATACTGAACCAAATGAAACCTAGATACTAATCTTCACTATCGATGTGGTCTTGGTTGGGTAAGGGACAACATCTCCAAGCTTTATTTTCTCATCTATAATGTAGAGATAATGTCCATCCTTTCTACTTCACAAGGTTGTTGCAATGATTGAAAGAATTAATGTGAACACCCTTAAAAGTTGTAAAGTGCAGCAAATGTTAGGTGTCATTAGCTGATGTGTTCTGGAATACAACCTTTGCATGTGATATTTAAAAGTTAACATAGGAACAGAATTTTCATAATCTCATCTGTACTTAATATTTCTGACTGACCCAAAATTTTTTTCCAAATATTACCTGAACATTCTCTACAAAACAAAACAAAGTAACAGCAACAACAAAAACTTCAAGTGTTAAATGACCTTATTTAAGCAATTGTTTCTTCGAGCCCTAAAAAGCGATATATTCTTTAACAAATAACAATTGTGTACAGCTCTAAATCCTGGTAAACTAAAAAAACTCTTCAATTTTACTGAAATTTCCCAGAAAATAACTGAGTGTTCTTGGAATCACCTATCATTAATGCTACTTAAAATTCAAATCCCTGAAAATCTTTCCTTATTTCCAATTAATGTAGCAAAGAAAATTAAATTTTCCATTATAGAGACATAATTAACAAACCCTCCCAATTCATTTAATGAGACAGGTATCTTATAATCACTGTTAAATGAATTAAACATAGCTTCCCTCTAACCTTTCCTGGAGTTTGCAGAAATAGTCAGTTATAGAAGTATTTGAAAGACTGATTTGCTTTTAGTTTCAGAAAAACATGCATTGTTTGTATTTGATAGAGGGGAAACAGAATAGAAAGATGTTAACATGTACATCCAGACTGCTTGCTAGTTGATCTATGCTGGTCTAAACATATAGATGAGGCAGGCATTTGATTGGTAGGATTTCAGGGCAGCAAAATGTGCTCTCAGTCCTTTTCCATCCAATGGCCCAGAATTCTCAGCAGCAGAAGCACTATGGAAACAGATACACAACCTGTTTAGGATATATCACCCTTGGGCATAGGTTAACAACCATAACTTAAAACAATGGGAAGCAGAACTAAAAATTTTGAATTGAAGTCATCATGCCCCCCAAAATTTAATAGCAATGGGTGTGTCTTTATGGTGGAGAGAGCAGAAACAATGTGTTTGCTTCTAGGAATGACTCTAAAGAGCCAGATGGCAGTAAAAAGAGACTTGAAGCCTGACATGTAAAGTTAGAAAAGGACCAAAGACAAATTTTAACTTTTTTTCTTTTTTTTTTAAGATTTTATTTATTTGACACAGAGACAGAGAGGGAGAGAGAGCACAAGCAGGGGGAGCAGCAGAGGGAGAGGGAGAAGCAGACTCCTCACTGAGCAGGGAGCCCGATGCGGGGCTCGATCCCAGGACCCTGGGACCATGACCTGAGCCGAAGGCAGATGCTTAATGACTGAGCCACCTAGATGCCCCTAATTTCAACTTTTTCAAATATTTTCTGGGGCTACCAGTCTAAGTGACCTTGTAGCAAACTGCTTATTTTTCTGTATTTTCAATTCATCTTCTGATTAAGGGCCTATTGATGATGAGCTCTCTGAGGCTATACCGTATTGTCTATTCTTATACTGTGTGCTGTTCGCTTTTACTCTTGCATAATCTGGAGCTAACTGCTTTGGTTTCTGTATTTTTATTTAGAGAAATACATACAAATCCTCTCTATTTAGAAATAAATGGCAATGCCAACTTTTGCAATTTACTTCATCAAATTTCTAGATTTAAACATTATTTGTCTTTAAGTAGACTTATGAGAAGACTGTATATTTGGCTACCAGTATTAGAAATCTAGAATTGGAAAGAACTTCAGAAAATACCTAATTTAACCACACATTTTTGTGAAAGATAAAAAATCAACCCAAGTCCCTGAGACTTGCTCCACTTCATATATCTCAAAGAAGAATCCATAATTACCCCTACTCTTCAATTCTAGATCCAATAATTTTAGATGTTAGAAAATAGTTTTATCAAACTTGGGTGATATCCGCACTTTATTCTAAAATAACTCATTTACGCTCTTCAATAAAAGTTTATTTTATTTAAATACAAAAAATAATTCTTTATTATTTTCTTTATTATTTTTCTTTATTACTATTCTTTATTATTTTTCTTTATTATTTTCTTTTCTAAATTGAATACTCCTAGTCCCTATAAGGGCCTTAATGAACTCTATCCAAATTTTCCTTTTCTCTTGGCCTTTGGAACCCAGAGCTGGACATGGTCTTTCAGTAAAAAGCTAACCTAGGTCTTCTGAATAGTAAAGTTTGTGGCATTCATTGTCTTCCACTTACTTTAAGTAGAGACAATATGGTTACAATTAAATTTAATGGACCTGATGTCTATCATGCATGAGTGAACTTTAAGAGGCCTGGAGCTTAGTGAAGGTTTGGGTAAGTACCCAAGA